AAAAAAAAAAAAAAAAAAAAAGAAATCTCTAGGTCCAAATGTCTTCACTGGAGGAAATTCTACCAAACAATTAAAGAATAATTAACACAAATCTTAGAAATTATCTTTCATAAACTAGAAGAAGAGGGAATACTTCCCAACTCATTTGTAACAATATAAAAACAGTACAAAAAAAGAAAACTACAAATCAATATTTCTTATAAACTTAGGTGCAAAAATCCTCAACAAAACATTTTCAAATCAAATCCACCAATGTATAAAAAGAATTATACACCATAACTCAAGTAGAACTTATTGCAGGTATGTAAGTCTGTTTCAACATTCAAAAACCAATGTATACAATCCACCATATCAATAGGCTAAAAAAAGAAAAATCACATGATCATATTAAGTGATGCACAAAAAGCATTTGACAAAATCCCATAACCATTCATGATAAAAACTCTCAGAAAACTAGGAGTAGAGGAGGAACTTCCTCAATTTGATAAAGAACACCTAAAAAATCCTACAACTAACATTATACTTAATGGTGAAAGAGTGATATTAGAAACAGCCAAGGATGTCCATTTTTACCACTCTTATTCAATATGGCACAGGAATTTCCAGCCAGAGCAATAAAGCAAGAACAATAAATAAAAAGCATACAGATTGGAAAGGAAAAAGTAAAATTGTCCTTTAGATGCAGAAGACACGATTGTCTACGTAGAAAATCCCAAGAAATCTGCACAAAAACTCCTAGAACTAATAAGTGAATTCATCAAATTTGCAGTACACAATTTAATCACTTTTCCATATACTAACAATAAACACGTGGAAACTGAAACTAAAGACACAATAATACCATTTACAATTTCTACAAAGAAACTTATGTATAAAACAAAACATGTTTAGGACTTTTATACTGAAAACTACAGTCTGCTGATGAAATAAATCAAAGACCTAAATAGATTACCTATAAGTAGACCTATAAATAGATGAGGTATAAATAGAAATCAAAGACTTAAACAGAGGGCCGGCCCTGTGGCTTGGTGGTTAAGTGCGTGCGCTGCGATGCTGGCGGCCCGGGTTCGGATCCCGGGTGCGCATCGAGGCACCACTTCTCCGTTCATCCTGAGGCCGAGTCCCACATACAGCAACTAGAAGGATGTGCAGCTACGACACACAACTATCCACTGGGGCTTTGGGGGGAAAAAAAAAAAAAAAAAAAATCTTTAAAAAAAAAAAAAAAAAAGACTTAAACAGATGTACCATGTTCATAGATTGGAATACTCAACATAGTAAAGGTGTCAATTTGCCCCTAATTAATCTAAAGGCTTAATGTAATTCTTGTCAAAACTAAATATGCACTTTACCACATGACCATGGATCATAAGCAATAAAAAGGAATGAACTATTGATTTATGCAACAACTTGAATGGTCTCAAGGGAATTATGCTGAGTGAAAAAAGCTAATCTCAGAAGATTATACACTGTCTGTTTCTGTTTATATAATATTTTTGAAATAACAAAATTATAGAGATTAGTACTTCCCAGGGGTTGAAGTGATAGTATGTATGAGTAGCATGAGGAATTTTTGTAATGGAACTGTTCTGTATCTTGACTGTTCTGTATTTTGGTGGTGGTCACACAAGTGTATGCATGTGATAAAATTGCATAAAACTAAATACAACTATACACAAGCAAGTGTGTATAAAACTGGTGAAATCTGGGGGGCCAGCCCTGTGGCATAGTGGTTAAGTTCAGCACATTCTGCTTTGGCCACCCAGAGTTCATGGGTTCAGATCCAGGGTGTGGATCTACACCACTCATCAGCCATGCTGTGGCAGCGACCTGCATATAAAGTAGAGGAAGATTGGCACAGATGTTAGCTCAGGGCTAAGCTTCCTCAAGTAAAAAATGAGGAAGATTGGCAACAGACATTAGCTCAAGGCTGATCTTCCTCAGCAAAAAAAACTGGTGAAATCTGAATAAGGTACAATATCATTGTACCAATGTCAATTCCCTGTTGCGATATTGTACTATAGTTAGGCAAGTTGTTACCTTTGGCAGAAATCTGATGAAAGGCAAATAGGATCTCTCTATATTATTTTTTACAATTGCATGTGAGTCTACAATTACAGTCATGTGCCGCATAAATGACATTTCAGTCAATGACAGACCACATACACAATGATGGACCCATAAGATTAGTACATATAGCCTAGGTGTGTATTAGGCTATACTATCTAGGCTTGTGTAAGCACATTCTATGATGTTCACAACAACAAAATTTCCTAACAACGCATTTCTTAGAATGTATCCCCCTCGTTAAGCGATGCAGGACTGTATCTCAAAATATAAAAGTTAAAAAATTTTTAATCTTAATAATAGCTAAACACAAATAAGAAGAAAGGCAGTAAAAATAAACTACATTAGTAACTTTATTATGGATGAGAAATTAATCAAATTTAATTCTGTATTTTTTCATTTTTTTGATATGTGGATGTATCGCTTTCATTTGGAATCATTAATTGATTTGATTAAACACAAGATGTGGTTCAAAGTGGAGGTAATGTTGGGATCAGAGGAGGTGACCCCGGTATTCAGGCTGGGACGCTAACTTTGCCCCGCTATGGTCTTTCCTAGAGTGTCTTTTATAAACCAGAGCAGCTCCTGGTGGAATGGTGTGATGTCATCAGTGACTTGTGTAAGGGCTCCGGAATCTTGGAAGCCATTTATCTCAAACACTTGGCCAGTGCTCTTTTCACACTATTGTGAGGCTGCGCTCTGGGTAAGTGTGGGGGCCTAGATCTTGAGAGAGCGACGAGGTGTTCACTAGGGGTGGGTGTCACTCACTCCTGTACTAGACTGAGTCTTGGATCCTGAACTATGTTCCTCTAAGGAGTCCCAGGGGATGTGGAAGGGGACGTGGAAGGGATCACCTGTGAGTTTTCAGATGAGTGACTGGGGATGCAGTGGGAATAAAAATAGGTCTCAAATTTAGGGAGAAGAGAGAATAACAGGGGGTGTGGGCAAAAGAGAGAAGAAAATGAATATGGGGGAAGGAGGAGAGAGAGTAAAGCCAACTGTCACAGAGAACTCGGCCGTCAGTGGCTGCCTTGAGAGCCCTGGAAGCCATGGGGACAGTGGGGAGGAGTGAGAAGAGACAGCACTCTACCAGTCAGGAGGAATATTGTCCTCAGATGGGGTAAGTGGCACTGACCTTCTTGACGGAGCACTAGGCACTGCCTCAATCAGCTTCAAGGGCTCTTTCAGACAGGCATGGGCCACTCTAGTCATATTTTTGCCAGGCTTGATTGCCCATGATTTTATAATGGTTCACAGGGATATTCTGGTAGAGCTGATGACATCAGTATGTAAGGTCATCCAGCTTGACCCTAAGGGAAATGTGACTGAGGCTCAACTGTCAGGACCACTAGCCACTCTTCCCTTGAGCACTGGTCAGACACAAATTCTAATCCCAAATCCAGAGAGCTTTCGCCACGGTCAAGGAACAAATCCTAGACAAGTTAAGTCATCATCCCTCATCTATAAATGAGGTAAATAATACACCTTACCTCATAGATCATTAAAGGGTTGAATAAGGTAATCTTAGTGCACTGATCAATATCTGAAGTTCAGTAAGCAATCAATAACTGTTAGCTACCATTATTGTCATTTTAATGATTATTAGGTTTCACAAGAAGCAGATTAAGCAGAAAGAAACGGCCCGGTCAAAATCAGGTTGGTTCCTTTCCAATTTTTTGTACCCAGAGAAGACAGGATTCCTCTGAGCTCAACCTCAGCCTCCTCAGAGACTGCTCCAAGCCAACAAGACCAGCAAAGGAGGGTCAGAGGAAAAGACTGTGCATGGAAGGGAAGACAGGTTTGTGTGGTTGTTCACCCTTTATCCATGGTCTCTGAATGAAGGAAAGGGATAGAACATTATGGTTCCAGCATCACTTCTTCCCCTTGACTCTCACGAGCGTGGGTCGGCAGGGGGAGGGTCCCCAGGACGAGACAGGGAGGTCAGTATCTTGATCACTTTTGAAGCTACTGAAGACCTCTATGACCAGAGAATTTCACATTTGTCTCCATAGAGGTGTCCTCCAGGCAGAAAGATCCATGGAAAGAGGCACAGGAGAGTGGCTTTTGCCTGGCAAAGAAAGGTAACTATTAACTCAATTCCTACCCTCCAATATAGATAAGTGCAGAAAGGGTGGTGGTCATTCTTCTCTCACCCCTTCAGATGTCACAAGCAAAATCCTCAAGGTGAGTGGGAAGGGAAGAGCCAAGTGTTTCCTAGGTAGGTCCCTCCCACGATCACACAGGGTCCTTCCTCTCTCCCTGCAGCTCCTCGGAACAGGAGCCCTCTGGCCTCCAGTTCTGCCTCTCTGGAGGCTGTGCCTGAGCAGAGAACCAGGAGGAGAGGCCAGAAGAGGAAGAGATTGATGGACATCGAGGCAGGTATGTGCCCTCACTTTCCTTGGCCCTGCATGAAGCATCAATTACTGCTAAGTAATCACTTGTCATCTTGACCCACGAGGCAGGGTCCAGTCTTCAGGGTGAGCTGCAAGGGAAGGACTCAGGACTTCCCAGATGGGTCAGGTCCATGATCACATGGAGTCTCTCGTTCCTGCAGCTGCCCAGGAGAGCAGCCCCCCAGCCTCCAATTCCACCTCCTCAGAAGCTGTCTCCGAGCTGAAGTCCTGGAATAAGAGAGGGCAGAAGAGGACCATGTGGACTGTCAATCACGTTGAGGGAACAAAACTCAGGATGAACAAGAGGAGAAGACCCAGTTACCGTCCTGAAGACCAAGAAGCATTCTACCGACTTCTGGGTATGTGCTCTGAGCTGGTGCAGTTCTCAGGATCCTTCTCAACTGAGAATCGTGGGGGGCACTGTGGCTCTGGGATCATGCTCAAACCTCCCCCTGGGGCTCTAAGCTGTAAGGCGTCCAGGTGGCAGGAAAGCAGTACCACCCCGGTTCTACTGTGGTACTGACAGGTTTTTCCTCCCCGAGACAAGTTTTCGGAGGGAGGGAAAAGAGGCTCACCGTTGAGTGTTCAATTATCAAGACATTTCAGGACAAACCAAGGAGTGCATCCTCTGCCCACAGAGACGCATTCATTTATTCCCTACAGCTCAGATTTTAGAGATTAGTGATGACAGGACAAACTAGATCTTGCTGTCTTTATGCTCACAATGGGAGGAGACAACAAACAAACAACTTGTATAGAAATAAATTGCTCTCAGCCACTGACAAATGCAGAGAAGGAAATGTTTTAAAAGGCAGTGACGCCTAGAGATGGGGCGTGAGCAAGGGTAGGAGAGCTTTATGAAACGGGAAACTCAGGGAAGGTCCGTCTGAGAAGGTGAGTCAGGACCAGAGGCAGGACTGAGTGTGGCAGGTTTGGGAACAACACTGAGCTCACACTGTCCAATATAGCATCCGCCAGACACATGTAGCTATTGAAATTTAATTTTAAATTAATTAAACTTTTAAAATTCAATTCCTCAGTCTCACTAGCCACATTCCAAGTACTCAGTAGCTACACATGGCTCATGGCTACCATATTGGACGGCATAGATATGGAATATTTTCATCATCACAGAAAGTTCTATTGGGCAGTGCTCTTCTGAGGGCCAGGCTGACTGGAGAAGGGTCCGGGAGGGCAAAATGATCCATGACCCCTCCATCCTCCCTGCTGTGAAAATGTCATTGTCCTGGGCAAGGAGTGAAAGAAAGACAGGACCCCGCATTCTCAGGTCTTCCCTGGAAAATGGCACCCCCAGAGGACAACTCTAATCCCAGCTGAGTCTGCTGTGGGGAGGGGAGGCCAGGTCATTATCTGCAGGGAGTGAGGGGATCCAGGAAAGGGAGGGCAGGATGCCCAGTGACCCCGGGGGCTACCAACTCTCCACCACCCGCCCAGAGTGCTTAGTTATCAGACGGGGCAAGGAAGCTTTGCACAGTCACAGCATGATAACATGACAAGGATGTGGTGTCACAGAGGCCCATCCATCTTTTGGCTTAAGGCAAATTTGTAAACTTTGAGAACCGGGTCACATCTCTGCAGTAAACGCACATCACCTCCCATGTGTTGAAGATTAAATAATAATGGGAAAATCCCTCCCCCACAGTTGAAACTCACTCTACATGTGTCAGTGGAAGGACCAGCAGCTGTTACTGGTATTAAGTTCATAACCCTCCTGGAGGAAAGGGAGCTGCCTCCACTTCCATGAGACAGAGGAACTCAGAGAAGGTTCCGGTTTTCCTCCTTCCCTCTGAAATGTCCACAGGCCGACACACTTCTCCCAGAGGGCTGCTCCAAGGCCTTCATCATTTCTCTCTTCCTTTGCAGAGGATCCTGTTATCCAGAGCTTTCTGGAAGCTGACATTTTCCTCAAAGTGTCTGACAAGGTACCTGTAGCACTAAAAGGATGAGGAGACCAAGGGGTCTGCAGAGTCACCACTCTATGGGGGGCAAGTACAGAGAATAAGATTTCTGTCTGGGCAGGAGAAGCTCTGGAGAGCTTCCAGAAGAAAGACAAGACATATTACCATGCCCTGCCCTGCCCACTGGGCATCTCCTCCCTGGCCTTCCCGTCACCCATCTCCACCTGTCAAGGGGCTGTGAGACCCTCAGCAAGTCCCACCCTGAGCGGTTTTCCTGCCGTGGCCTTTGGATGGGAGCAGAATCCACAGCCCATTCAGAACACTCTCCCCTCTGTTCACCCCCTCACTCGCCCTCTGTCCCCGCACAGTACCTGCTTTCCATGGTGGTGGAGTACTTCGGCCGCGTGGGGCTGCCCGGACACCTCTACAACAGGATCCACTTCTTCCTGGCCCTGTGAGCGCCTTTGCAGGGACCTGCTCTCCATTCTGCCCAAATCCCCCAGTCCCACAGCCTCATCACCCCCGGCCATGCCCATGCGCCTGAGGGTCCCAAGTGGTGGCTCCCATCGGCCACAGAGCAGACAAGGCCTTCGGGGGTCACATGGTCGTGGGGGAGGGGAAGGCGATGAGCAAGGTCCTGAGATAAGGAAAGTAGCTGGGAAACACCACTTGCTGCCCAGGCACTGAGTGACGAGGGCAGAAGCCCCAGGGACACGGCACGTAGCCAGAAGCTGGGCCTGGGCTGAGCCTAGCCCACGGGCTCTGGGACGAGCACCATCCTGCCGCCCCTCTGCACCTAGGTCCCCCTGCAGATACGCTTCCTGGGACTCTCTTTCCTGGATACACTGCCCCAGGTTTCTCCAGTGTGACCTCTGCAGCCTCTCCCCGCTGTCCCGCCTGAGACTGGGAGTCGTTGGGGCCAGGACAATCTTCCCCTCTTCCCACGGCAGCTACATCGCCTCTGACATGGAGGAGGACAACCCCACCTCCAAGCGGAGCATCTTCCAGTTCCTGTTGGGCAGGGATCACTGGCCAGACCTCTACAAGGAGTTCCTGCAGCTGAAGATGGAGTTCTTCTACGCAATGGGGCTGCAAGCCTGGGTCACCCCGGAGTTGTGCGAGGAGGTCTGTCCGGGATGACGGCGGTGGGGCACACCCCGGAGGTGGTGGGGCTGGGCCCTTCCTGCAGGCGCTTACCTCGCAGTGTTTCCCCTGCAGATCCAGGCCCAGAACCCACACCACTGGGTTTGGAGTCGAACGCGCCAGTGCACCCCCTAGGGTCCCGGGGAATGGATCGGGGGCTGCAGGTGGTCCAGGTGAGTGAGGGCGCATTGGGGGGTGGGTGGGGGAAGCCCTGCAGGGTCGGCCCCACCCTCTGTGCCCCTGCAGTCACCTCCTGGGCTGCTGGGCATGAGGAGGAAGCCACCGCATCCATCAGTGCATATTAGCATAGCAAGGGCTCTGAGAAATCCCCAGGTAAAGAAAGTAATCACCAGTGTTTATATCAAAATTCTCCAAATGACTTTGATTATGGAATCACGTACTGTGCAACACAAGGTCCCAATCTGCATAACCTTTTTTTTTTTTTTTTAGGTAAACTCTTCGAAATGCTGATGTAAGTAATGAAAACCTCTGCAGAGTTTTGATCTGAGTTAAAAATTTTAAACATAAATACCTGAAAAACACTGAGGTCATCCTTTCTGGAAAAGGGACTCTTACCTTGGTGACTCTTAGAGGAAAGAGAAAGATAAATCCTAACATTTCATCAAAAGTTTTGTGTGTTTTGCTCCCACATGAAGCAAGCTACACTAAGCTGGGTCCCTGAAAGATTGTTGGGACAAAAAGGAAACAAGTACACACACAGAACCGTGAGGAGGTCTGTAACAGACGACACATTTACAGAAAGCCATCACCTGACTAGCGTCACTCTCTTTCAAATGTACTTTCTTTGGTTTAAATTTATTTTTTATATTTGGATTTACTTGAAGTAGAGAGAGACCGTCAGTGACATGCATAAGGAACGCTTTGCCTGGGCAGACACTTGTACTAGAATAATCCTGTGAACAGAGCCCCCCCCTCTCCCTGCAGGGTGTTAACAGAGCCCTTTCTGACCCCAGCAAAAAACAAAAAGGGAGACAGGAAAACGAGTCAAGTGTGCCCTGAGATAAGCTAACTTTTTATAAAGTTTAATTCATCCGTGGGCTTTTCCTATGAGTACTAAGAACTACTGTGCACATCAGGAATCTCAAAATTCCAGAGAAAAATAGCATTTTTACTACAAAAAAAAGAAAAGGAAAATAGTTACTGGGGGCCCTCTCAGGTCTGGTCACTTATTAAGAGGCATGAGGGTGACAGCTGATTTTCCCTGAATTCCCGCTACCCCCCCAACAGAGAAGCTGCTGCCCCCTTCCAGGCTCCAAGCAGCCCCAGAGGGACGGCATCAGTATCGGGCCTCCAGCGTTCCTCAGACCCGCAGGACCCGCAGGAGGGTGCAGGGAGAGCCAGGACCACGGCAGCCTGAACCTGAGATGCCAAAACCAGCCAATGGCACAATGGCCCCCAACCTTCCAGGGGTGTCAGCCAACAAAGGCCCTGACCCCTGGATATCCTGGAAGGGTCTAGCAGTAACGTGGAGGGGGCACTCAAGCGAACCAAGACACCAGAGCTGGGGCCTCTACAGAGACTGTGGATGGGCAGAGGGAGAAGGGACGGAACGTCCCGGAAGAGGACCAAGAAGGAAGAGCCTGAAGGATGAAGCCAAAGAAAAGACTGGAAAATGGCAAGGAAAAGAGGAGATGGAGGGCAGAAACACACGAGGAGAGTGTAGAAGACGAGCCCCTTCTAGAAAATCAACATCTCCAGAAAGTTGCACTCGGAGCCCTTCCTGACAATCCGCTAAATAGAGAACAGCTTTACCCAAGGAGGAACAGTGGGAAATTTCAGCCAAAGGACTAACAGAAGGCATGACAACATTGGTGTGTTGGTCTAAGGCTGAAACAAGAGTGGGAACAGGCAGGGGAGGGGGGAATCACATGCCATCTCGCGCTCCAGCAATATAAAAATAACCCAACTTTTAAAATGAGAGGAGAAGGGAGAGAAGAAAGGAGGGAGCCATGAATTCTGGTGAGGGAGAGGTGGGGAGGTCCCAGGGTACCATCAAAGCTGGAAACAAGACAGCGGAAGCCGAGGTAAGGGAAAGAGGGACGCAGGGAGTCCTGCAAAGATATTAATGTTGAATGTATTCACAAAAACACAAGCCATCCTAAATGCCAAGAGTAAGGAATACAGGGGCCAGCCCCATGGCCTAGTGGTTAAGTTCAGCACACTCTGCTTCAGTAGCCAGGGTTCACAGGTTCGGATCCTGGGCACAGACCTATACTACTCATTGGCCATGCTATGGCAGTGACCCACATACAAAATAGAGGAAGACTGGCAGAGATATTAGCTCAGGGTGAATCTTCCTCAAGCAAAAAGAGGAAGATTAGCAACAGATGTTAGCTCAGGGCCAATCTTCCTCAGCAAAAAAAAAAAGAGTAATGAATACAATGAATATTTTAAAAGCAAAAAAAACAGACCAAATAGAGACACAGAGTAAATATAAGAAATATGGTAAATACAATACAAAAACTGAGACCACTGAGATCGGTCACATTATTTGTATGGATAAATTTGAACTCACTATTCAAAGAAAAAGATTTTTAGATTGGCTTGCAAAGCAAAACCCAGCTCTGTGTGGTTTGTAAGAGATTATCCTTAAATCATTCAGAGGAGCCAAAAATAAGCAGGGGAGGTACACCCAGCAGACACCCTCAAATGAGAATAGGAATTGTTATCTTGATACCAAGAGGAAGGAAAACTGAGGCTCAAAATCCTTCAGAGACACTGGGAAGAACACTTGGGGTGGGGGGCAGGGACGGGAGTCGGTGCCCAGTGGTAAAGGTGATCCCAGGGGTCCTGGGCTGGCAGCTTGATTTGCTCACTAATGTTTAGGTTTTACAGCTGTATATACATGTATAGCTATTTTTGATAGGAAACTTTATTACTGGGCATCTGCAATACAGTATTATTGGGCAATAACTTCAATTGCCACGCAAACTGTCTAGCTCTTCACCTCTTCTTTCCCAAGGAAATGCCTGATTTTGCCACAAAATTTCTGATAACTACAAGCTTCCCAGGAACCTCACAGTCAAATGTTGGACAGAACAGCCAGTCCTGTAAACAGCTGACTCCTTTCGGGAAGCAATACAGTTGCTGTTCAACCCTCTCTCTATCCCCTGAGGGTTTAGCATTTTCTTCTTGAATCCTCTGCAAACAATCACAGCTCTTATGATCTGCGACACCTGGTCATGTGGCCCCAGAAGGCCAAGGTGGAAACAGTTGGGCTAAGGGGTTGTTTCTCTCCTCAGGGTGGCCACAGAGGGGCAAACCCAGAACCAACAGGACCAGGCAACCAGGCACACAATGTTCCTATTCACACATCTTCGACTCAGTCCCGAGAAGTCTGATACGAAACGGGGCCAATTCCAAATCATCCCAATTAGCTAAAAGACCATGCATTCTCCCTTTAGTCAGCGAGCCCCTCAGCATGTTAGGCAGAAACCTAAGGCCCCTCAGGGCGTCACTGCCACTGCGGCTCTGAGGCTGGTGCCATGCAGCTGAGTTAGTGCAGGGATTATCAGATTGCAAAGAAATCTTGGAGTTTCCGAGAGCAACTGAAGGTTTGATAATAGAAAAGGAAAGTGAACAGCACTGGGAGCTCAGGGGAGATAACCAAGGAGCTGGAAATACCACGAGCAAAGCCCAGGGGAGACCAAGTGGTGGTGAGCAGTTTTCGTGGGACTCGGGGATGGGGCTGAGTTCACATCCGGGTCATTGCATTCCACATAGCATCCCAGGGTTTGCTCAGGAACCCAAGAAGAAAGGGTGTTGATAAAGGGAAGCAGACTGAGGGGTTTTGGGAGCAGGGGATGGAGAAGCCCCTGCAAACCTCCAGAGACTCAGGGGTGGGGACATCTGTCCCAGCTGGTATCAGTTTCCTGCATTCAAGCGTGCACCCTCTGTCTCCATGTCTACCTGGAACCAGGCAGAAGAGTAATGGCTTTCCCTCCTCTTCCATATGCAGATCTCACACGGGCATCTCCCACTGATACCTCCCATTGGCACACTGTTACCTGGGCCCACAGGGGAAATAAAGTTCAAGGCTGAGGAGAGAGGAGGTGGTGAAGATGCTGTGTTGACATCCAGCCCACACACAGGGCGCAGTGAGATCACCCACAGATGAACCAGTGCAGGAGACAGGGAGTTTGGAGTGAGGTGACACAAGACAGCACCCACGCCCTCCTCTGGGGTTTTGCAGAAATTTCATTAAATGAAGGTTGGAGCTCATCTCATCTAGGTCTTAC